CGTGCTGGGAGAGCAGCTTGCTGCTGAACGGGGTGGAGGTGGCTCAGTCCTGCCCGCCAGGCTCCTCAGTAGAGCTCCTAGCATCGTGGCGAGCAGGCCGCTGCCCCGTCTGCGTCCCCTTGCCTTTGGAACGGGGCAGATAGCAACAGGCTGCTCCCCCTCCCCCTTCCTCAGGGAACAGAAACCCCCATCAGGGCTTCAACCGCCCCATAGAGTCCCACTGATACTCGCAGCACCTGTCGAGGGCTGCAACTTAAGTGTGGTGGCAGACATGCAAATCTATATGCAAATCTATGCAAATAGCTTTTCACACGGACGGGCATGAATACAAAGATTAAGGCAAGACTATGCCACACGCAGGCCCCATTTCAGTCAGTGCTGCTGCTATTCATAAAATGCAAGATTTACCCGATTTCCATCCAGCTGACAGTGCAGGAATTTCACTAGTAAAACGCCTCTCAACAGGAGACCGTTCTATCGACTCGCCGGGGTGGAGCGTGTTCCCAGTGGAGGCCGTGTGCAAACCCAAATGGCACCGCAGGCTGCACACAAACAGGCCGCGTGTTGAGTAGCCCTGAAGTAGCCAATACTCAGGGGTCTGTGTGTTGTTCCAGTAGGAGACGGCACAGATGACAGAGCGGAGCATTTCTGAAGTTACAAAGAATTCCCGTAAAGTCCCGTTCCCCTGAATACAGCAGGAACCAAACTGTGCAGGAGACAATTGCTCGGCTCACAGTCCAAGGCCTCTTTCCAGCCAGCACTGAGCCCAAAAGCTGTCCCTCCGCGCTCTCTCAGGGCCACATGCCCCCGCTGGGCTCTGCTTTCTGGGCACCACTCTGCTCACACACAAACCCAGCCCTCTGCCCTACAACCAGCTCCCAGTGAAACCCCTCCGTGTCTGCCCCATAACTAAAGGCTGTTGTGGGGCCTCTCATGTGATTTCTTGTGACACAGGCAGTCAGATGTCTTAGGCCCCTGGCCAAAAAGGTCACAGTAGTGCACAACGCACCACTGGCCTGGCACTGGGGCATAAAGAGACCGTGACAGGGTCAGAAAGGGGGCTGGTGGGAGGCCAGGGCTGGAAGCCACAAGGAGAGGGATGGAGAAGGGACAAGAGTGAACAGGGCATGAAGGAAAAGTTGGCTGGTCCCTACCCCCTCAGCGCCGTGGCTGTCCCCAGTGGCGTTCAGCTGGCGAGGGTCGCGCCCTGTGTGGCTGTCCGGTCACAGTGCAGACCCACACACTTTACACACACGCACGTGCGATCCAACAGAGCATGTTTATTAGCAAAAATAATTTATTCCGCTCCCATAAGCACAGACCCAGCCCTAGGACGTGACGCCACCGTGCACAGAGACCCCAGCTCCTGCTGCAGCAGCCTGGCCCCGATCACCACCCAATAACCATTTTCCAAGTGAAGAAAGTGAACCCCACCCTTTTTAATTACAACTAAAAAAGAAACGTTTCTCCCGCGCCCAGCCGGGAGCAGAGTCCTGCAGGTTCCGCTCCCATAAGCACAGACCCAGCCCTAGGACGTGACGCCACCGTGCACAGAGACCCCAGCTCCTGCTGCAGCAGCCTGGCCCCGATCACCACCCAATAACCATTTTCCAAGTGAAGAAAGTGAACCCCACCCTTTTTAATTACAACTAAAAAAGAAACGTTTCTCCCGCGCCCAGCCGGGAGCAGAGTCCTGCAGGCCACGTCTCTCCGGTTACACGCACAGACCCATGGCACGTGTGTGACCCCACCCTTGATGTCAGAATTCCTCTGGGCGGCTCTTCGCTCCCGTCCACAAGCAGCAGCTCCCTGGCTCTTCAGGGACCAGGCCTGCAGCAAACGGCTCTAGGTCCCAGGGCAGCCCGCCAGGCCAACGGCAGGGTCAGACGGGGCGTTCAGATGGTTGGGGGGTGCCCATTAGTAGCCCTCATGGAGACAAGCAAAGCTTGCCCAGGAGGTTCTGAGCACGCGACCAACCCAAGCTGTGCCTGGAGATGGTGGAAGGAAGGGACCAAGCGAAAAGCAGGGAGGAGTCCGCAGGCGAGCTCAGAGCCAACGGTTGGGAGCTGGGGAGTTGATTTTAAACAAAGGCCCATTTCAGAAAGGGGCAGAGACTCAGCTAGCCCCGTGGGGCTCAGGTCAGACCCCTCCGCACAGCGCGAGTCCATGGAAGGGAGACGAGCTGTGCCTGGAGATGGTGGAAGGAAGGGACCAAGCGAAAAGCAGGGAGGAGTCCGCAGGCGAGCTCAGAGCCAACGGTTGGGAGCTGGGGAGTTGATTTTAAACAAAGGCCCATTTCAGAAAGGGGCAGAGACTCAGCTAGCCCCGTGGGGCTCAGGTCAGACCCCTCCGCACAGCGCGAGTCCATGGAAGGGAGACGCGAACCAGGGGTTCGGGGGAGGGAGCCTCCCACTTGATTTTCAAGCATGAGCAAATGTTCCGGTGAGAGCAAGAGAGGCCACTGGCTAACAGGACACGGGCACACGCAAGGCCCAGCGGGAGACGCAGGCAGCTCCCGGATCCCCCCAGAACGAACACCCCCAGCCCGCTGGAGAAGGCAGGGGCAAGAGAGCACCCTCATGCACCCGCCGGGTCCAGAGCGGGAAGCTCGGT